TTTCAAGTCCTCATCATTCTTGACCTCTATGCTGCATTTGACATTGTTGACTAAACTCTTCTCTGGTGCACTTTCTCCTTTCTGGGATTTTATGCCGCTGTTCTCTCCTGGTTCTCCTTCAACCTGTCTGACCAATTCCTTCTTAGTCTCCTTTGATGACTCATCAGCCATATGATGCCTCCTCACCGGAAGTATTCCTCAAACCTCTGTCCTGGACCCATTTACTTTTTATTTCTACATGCTCTCAGTTTCCATAGATTCAATGATCATTACTATACTGAAGACACATAGACTTATACATCCAGTTTAAGGTTTAGTCCCACTTCACTAACTGCCTATCAGACATTTCAAGTGGATGTCCCAGAGAAGTCTCAAACTCAACATGTCCAAAACAGAATTCATTCCCTTTTCTTTTCCACCCCCATCCTGATTCTAAACTTTCCTATTTCTATCAGGAGTACCATTATATTAACTATTATGTTCATCATCTCTTCATAATACTTCACTCTTCACTCTCACTTTCCCTACATATCTGGTCACTTGCCAAGACTGACTATTTCTACCTCCAAAACATTTTTCACGTCTGATCACTTCTTTCTACCCATAAAACCACCACCTTAGTTTAAGGTCTCATCACCTCTTGCCTAGAGTATTCAACAACCTACTTTGTCTTCTTGCTTCACTTCTCTCACCACTTCAGTCTATCTTCCAATGAAACTGCCAAAGTGACTGCGCCTCTCTCTTACTCAGCAAACTCTAAAATAAAATATAAATACCTGTTTTGTTTTTTAAGCCTTTCACATCTTGGCCCCAGCCTATCTTTCCATTGGTTATTGCTCCTCCTGAATTTATGTATTGCTTACACAGAGCATTCCATCTCATTGTCTATGCCTTTGCAGTGGTTGTCCCACATGCTTAGAATGTACTTTCTCATCACCGTCTCATAAACTCATTTTCTTTCTTTAAGACACAGATCTAGCACCAACTTCTATGTGAAATTTTCCCCTGATCCCCAACTGTTGGTGCCCTTTCTTTCTAACTACCTTGCATCTATTATATTTATATTTATTCTTTATATTTTCATATATGAACTTGTTGTGTCTCTATTAGAATTTAAACTCCCTGTGAGTAATGGTTATTTCATTATTTTTTTGTGTGTGGCTCCACTGCCTATCACTGTACTTGACACATAAAAGGTACTTAAAAATGCTTGTTGATTGATTAATAACTGAAAGTTGGGCCCAGAGTTGAAAATGAGGAGAGCAGACTGTATTGTTTTCAGATAATTGCAAAACTCCTTGAATGATTCCAATTTTTACAGGAAAACAAAGACTACCTCCCCCTTTCAAATACTAATATTCTATTGGTTTTACTGCATTTCACTGAGACCAGGAATATAACAGTCTTCAAGAGCAATGGGCAGACTTATGATGAGCTTTGAAGAACAAGAGACAAAGATGTCATTAAGTAAATACAAGAAAATGTAAGTTTTTCCTCCCACTTCCAGATTAATGTAATCATAATATCAATCAACAGTACCAGAATATAACCACATAGCAAACAGTAGGTGCTACTTTTCCTACAACTCCACAACAATATAGTCACACATGATGAAGTTTTAATGTGTAAAAAATATTTATCAATGCCCATATTTCTATATCAGTTGTAGATGTCTTGAGTGAAGGAAGAAAAAATGTTTGGCTGAGATAACTAGTTACCTTCTTTAAGCCATTTTAAAAAAACAATTAGTTTTTTTTTAATACAATAAGTATAAGAATTTAAGGTTCCAATCTGGCAGCCCAGAAGTGGTAGAAGAATCAGGTCTTGAGCAGGACTTACTGGATGAGTGTGTGTGTGTGTGTGTGTGTGTGTGTGTGTAGGGTTTCTCTTTTCTCTCCATCCCCACTCCATCCACCATGTTCTTAGAGCTATTGGATCAATGGGACACAATGCATACATTTGAAAACAGAGACACACTTTAGAAGACAGACATATATACAGAGAAATTATCATTTAAAGGATAAAACAAGCTTCAAAGAGTGTGACTTCTGTAAGCAGAGAACAATGATGCCTGTGGACTTAATAATGAAATATACCATGGGAATCCAATTTAGGAGTCCACCCAATAGAGATGCCGTGCCTATAGGCAGATGTGTGAGTACTCTGTGAAAAAAGGACTTCCAGGCCTATCAGTACCAGAAGTTGTGGTCTACCCTTTGTCACATGTGTATCCTCCAGATGTGTTTCACTAACAAAATACTTTAAAGTTTGAGCCCATGCTTCCCATGGATATTGTGTATATTACTGAAAGGGAGAGCCCCAGGCTTTTGGTAGGAATGCTTGTACCAAGTATAGTACTATATGCCATATTAATAAAAACCTTTGCTAAAGCTAATTAAGCCTACCAGCATGCTTAGTTGGAAGCGCGTTGGTGGAGGCTCATGAGCTGCATTAGTAGGAAGAAGTAGCCATATATAGGATTACTCCTAAAAACCTGGGTAGTCACCCTTCTAGGGACCCAACTTGTTAGCATGAGTACAAATTGGGGTATAGTACCAGATGAGGGCTAAAATAAGAAAGGCAGTCACATGACAAAGGTGAGGGATCATAGGCTTGAAGTCAAGTAGAAGAGAGGAAGCTTCCATTATATTAGATGTACTCCCTGCAGTGAATTCATGTGAGGACAGGGACAAAAGTCTCTCAAAATGGGCAGGTGTGGATGATTTGTGATCAGCATTGGAAGGAACTTTTCAATCAATAAGACAGATTCATTTGAGTAGAAATAAAGGAAAAAAATGGGAAAATAGTGATAGCCTTAACAGTAATAAGGCAACTGGGAAAGAATGTCTATTTGAGAGAGGTAAATAGGCTAGGGAAAGGATTAGCTCAATTTTAACACATTTCGGGTGCCTATTTTTCTGTAATCTTTTCCTGGTTCCTTCAGGAGAAGGTAAGGTACTCAAAGGCAGAGAGTATCTTCATTTTTGTCTTATGAGATGAAGCATCATAAGCAAATCAAGATAAATCAAATAAAATTGAATTAACTTAATTACTTGGAAGATGTTAAGAGATAAAGCTAAAGATAGTTTGGGGAACTGCTCCTAATTTGAAGAACAGGAGACAAAGATGTCATTAAGTAAATATAAGAAAATGTAAGTTTTTCCTCCCACTTCCAGATTAATGTGATCATAATATCAATCAACAGTACCAGAACTACTGCATTTTAATTCAGAAAGGATTCTACAAGGTCCTTTCCAAGTATGAACAAAGAGTATGAAACTAATGAAATGATCAAGCCTGTATGTGGCCAAGAGCAGTACAATTATTTCATCTGCACTCAGGGAACTAACACTAAGGGGAGTGAATTATTATTTTTTTTTAGAGTGTAGCATGAGATTTTCCATGTCATAAAAAGGTGTTAGCCCTAATTACAATGGGATGTGTTCTCTAATCTATATTAAATAAAGTCAGAGATACAGAGAGGTAATCAAGGTTTATTTATGAAACACATTTTACATTTCTTAAATAATATAAAAATAAAGACACTTATTTCAAACAATTTTTTCAAATAAGTTAATTTAAATATACATTTTTTCTTTAATTCACAGAAACATTTGATACATATCATCGCCAAAGTCCCAACTGCAGTCAGCAGGCTGGTATGAAAAACAGTTTAACAATCAAGTTTCTTCAGAAAGGCAATTCTACAGGTCACAGATTCCTAAATTTGCCTATTTCTAGTTAAAAAACAAAAAACATAAGCCAAAACAAAACCCTTATAAAACCCCTGAGTTTTTCCCCCTCTGTGAAAGTTGTTCCCTACTTTCCCAGTTCCCCAAAGACATAAAGAACATCTGTCTTATTTATTATCACAAACACTAATTCTAGCTGTTGCCATAATTTATGTTTTGAAAAATGTTAGCACTAAGCATTAACAATTACACATTACAGTATTTACCAAAAAAAAGGTACCGATATTGCTTTCATGGTGCTTAAATGCTAAGCTAAATTTTTTAAATTTGTAGAATGAGGTCAGCTACTGTTTCTTTCCTTTAGGCAGATGTATAATCCAATCTAATAAAGGTGAACTGCATTTACATAATAGATGGTCTTTCCTGAAAACATATATGTAAATAAAATCATATTTTCCAATGTTTTACATTACAATTTCAGATATATATTCTCAAAAAAGAAATTATGGATCAAAAAAAGCATTCAAATCACATTTAAGAATGAAATTTAGAAATAAATTTAAATGCAATTAAAATCATGCTTTAGAATAAAATTTTTTAAAATAAGCAATTTTTAAAAAATCCATAAATTTTATCAGAAAATAACTTCTAACTAAAACAAACATTAACATCACATAAGTAAAATACAGTACTACCTACTAGTGAAATGTAGACAGAAAAGAGACATTTCACTAGAGGTGCATTCAGGACTTCTCTGAAAATACATTCAGAGCTGGTTGCTTTGTCTCTTCTTATATAGTCCTTTTCCTTTGATTTACTGGCCTTTTCCCAGTTATCATTGGTACTGGCGTAAAGGTTTAGTATAAAGACAACTGTGTCCTTATACTTATAGTATCACTAGGGCATTTCAGTACTTTAAAAATCTCCTCCTACCATATGCCCAGCTCTTCCACACCCCACACACCCCACATCCCAAGCTAAGCTGAGAAGCTGTCTGTGGAGGGAATTGTTTTTGACTTTACTGAAGTAAAGTCCTAAAGAAAGAAAGAAAGAAAGAAAAGAAAAGAAAAGAAAAGAAAAGAAAAGGAAAGAAAAGGAAAGAAAAGGAAAGAAAAGGAAAGAAAAGGAAAGAAA